CACATTAATTATATACAATCAAAATAAGGAGAGCAAGATAGTCATGGCCAACCTACCAATATCTGGTAGAAACCACTATTTGGATGCAAACGTGAACACATATACAATAGATCAAAGCTTGGAAGCAGTCCAGCTTGCCGCATTATATAAGTTACTCAGGTTCAGTAAACAGCAAAATGTAGAAACACATAAAAGTGTAGCCCCGTTGGTATTTACAAAACAAAGTTAACGCAGATTTTCATAAGAATTCCAAATGACAATGCCATCACCTCTAGAACAGAAAACGGGGCCGTTAATGATGAATGAAGCAATGGTAGGTCATCTGCACATAAACAAGTCACTTCACCAACTGGAAATTTGGACCCATACCTGCCAGCTCTGCCTGGAAAATCAATAAGTTCATTAAAATTAAAAAAGTGAAACATATAGAAAAATACCATGCTGTATGTATCATCAACTTTAATGTGGGTGACCAAAACAAAGAACCTTAATGTTAGTTTTCAGCGAAGGGGCTAACACTATTAACACTATATATCAGCACCATGCAACTTGTGTGAATGAGAAAACTGAAAAAGAAAAAGAATTCAACAGAATACTACCAATCCGAATACCAACTACATTAAAATTTTAGTTAGATTTCCAAGTAACCTGCAATCTGCTTTATCTCAGGTATTGTAAGCTCCCTCATTTCAACACCATCAAACTTATTCATAGTGGAGAATATGATCCTTGAAATATTCAGATTAAGACTGTAACATTCCACTTTGCTTGATTATATTTTAAATAACAGTCCTTAGGCACTAATGACTTAATTGAATAACTTGAAAGTTAAAGGTTTGCATAAGTTTGGAAGCGACGCCTAACCTTAAATTTATAGATCTGTTGACGTGAAAAAGTTACAATGCAATCTCCTGTTTTTATATTAGAAAAAGATCCAAGAGAAACTTCTAGAGGACCTAGTGGTGAAAGTCTTCCATAAGTTTGGACCTGGGACATTAAGCATACAAAGATTACAAATTTACAATAGAAACAAACAGAAAAAGAAAGTTAACAAGCATGCCATTTTGCTTTAACATAAATGTTCCCTTTAACAAGATGAAAAGAAAAAAGTAAAACTTAAAAAATTGATCAAACATACATTCCAGAAAATTACAGTACCTCTACATTATCGTCAGTCACTTTCAGCATTTCCTGAATAAGAGGAACAGTAGCCGCATCTCCACAAAGATGATGTTTATCAGCAGCAATTCCCAATAGAGCACGTGTGAATGAAAAACCCCTTGTTTTACAGCCCAACATATATAAAGAACACGAAAAGATTAGAAGAATGAGAAATAAGGAAGATCAATCTAAAAATAGCTATTCCCTTTTCCAGACAGCAACATATTGACAATTTCTTAAATCACTCCAATGTATCAACTTCAAATTTAATTAATGCAACTGTTTGTGTAAGGATGCTGAAAATATGGCATGAGAAAATAGCTGATTAAAGAAAAATTTGCCTGTATTTCATCAATAACAGCACAATGGGAATGGGAGGTAACATCAGCCATCTCCACTGTGATAGCTTTGTGCCTTGCACCATCAACTTCGTCTCTCTCTTGTCCTGTTATTAGATCACAAGGAACTTTTGCCTTGTTCATTCGATTTGCCACTTCCCACGCCAATAAGGAATAAAGAGACGAGTATTACAGGTCTTTCTTGCTTTCGAAGTTTCAGATTCTCCTACCACATACATTGCAAATTTGATAGGCAAACAAATTACACCTATTTTCTCAAAATAACAAAAGGACTTTCGAAATTAGAATTCCAATAGCATTGGAACAGATGGTTACAAGAAAATAAACCCAAAAAATGCAAACAAAGACAACAAATACAGTCTGCGAATTTTGCACCCCAAGAAAATGATTTCAGGGTCTAACCTTGAAGGATGCAAGAAATCCCAAAGGCTGAAGCTTTCCGCTGCCGAAGAAGCAAATAGGCCATTTTCTTCTTTCCTTTTGGATGAATACTAACTGTTTGTTGAAATTACGCAACCAGTTGTTGTAGATTCAAACGAAAACAATTTCTTTGGGTTGGGCCTATGCCATTTAGCAAGGAAATTTGAGAATTCAAGCTAAAGTGTGTAGATAACTTTCTTGAGTTTGGCTTCCCCAGCAGCCTAGCCTGTCTAGGAAATCTTCAATTAACCTACAGAGTCATTTCACCTTTATAAGGTATCAATACGAAGGAAGATATAGTAGAAAGAAACAAAACAAAAGCACTAACAAGCTGGTCGTTGCCTTTTGCGAATCTGCCTGCTCGTGGTCAGGGAAAGAATCTTCAAATAAAAAACTCAACTAAATATAGAGGCCCAGCACCTTCAGTTGTTCCAAAGAAAAGATGAGGTTTTAGCAGCGTCAAGGCTCTATTGAGTTGTAAGAAACATTACACAGAATCAGCAAATAGGTTAGAAGTGAACAAATGAAACATCACAACTCAGGGAAGATGGGATCAACAAAAGCATCATGCATTGGATATAACAGCCAGAGTTGAGCTATGTGATGGGAAGATGTGGTGTGCCGATGGGTTTCTTCAATGAGCCAGATAGTGGCTTCAGCTTTACAAGGATGAACGATGATATCCAGAGGCCTGTCTTTATCCTCACTTCCAAATCTCAGTTGGTCCCACTGTGTTAGGAGAATGTTGTGGAGGTAATGCAAGGGTTGGCCATATAATTGCTTGATCAATCTACCTAATCCCATCCATGATGTAAATGGGATGAAAGAGCCCCGCTGTGCTGGGATAGGCACTTCACATACTCCTGATACAATTCTGCCCTTTTCATCAACATACCTGTTCAAAGAAACTTCAGGCAACATTAACTCACCCATCTGTGTCCATAGCAGTCAATTGGGGGATTGAAGCTGTTGTGCAAAGATAGTATAGATTAAATAGTTTCTGCATTTTATTCTTTGTAGCAGCAGCAAATTGCTGCTTGCTTTTGTATGGACGGTTATTGGATAAATAAATTCACCTTTTAAAAAAAAAAAAAAAAAAAAAACTCACCCATTTAGGCTGATTTTAAACCCAATATCTAGCACTAGCAAAAGTAAAGAAAACAAGAACAATTCTTCCATGAAAGAATACTACTAATTAATTCTAATTCTATAATTCAACACATATTACATTGCTAGTGAATACTACATCATTAAGCAGACAAGAACAAGACGGGTAATCTGTTCCTTCAGCCAGTTACAGTAGAAAAAACCCATTATACAGCTATAGCACCCATTGCCATTAGTGTTTTTGCTTCCCGTCCAAACAGTTACAATTCTCACAACAACAACCACCAAACTTCTTGTAGAACTAAAGATGAGATTTTATCTACGTTATAAAAGGCAACTAATTACCTTGTTAGAAACTATTACCATTGTTACAGTCAAATGTTGCTTTCTTGCTAAGAGCAAGACAGTAAGAGGACATGAACCGGAAAGAAAATGAGAAATTTGTAGACTCAAACAAAAGAGAGATGAAACCCATGTCTTGAAAGTACCTTGAGGGGACAATTCTTGGGGTGGTTGCTCATTAGGCGAATAACTTGTTGAATAATTTGTAAATGTTTAAGATCCCACGTCAAGAAAATATAGGAATTTAAAAGGAGTTTATAAACATTTATTGTTTATCAATAAATAATTACGTAAAATAAAAATCAAGGCAAATTGGGCCTTACCCATTTATATATAATCAAAAGATGGATACTTGGGCACTTTGGGGCTTGACGGCTAGAACATTATTAATTTTTTATTATTTTTGGATTTTTTATTTTATTTTATTAATCTAAAATTTGGAAAGACATGTCTAAAATCAAATATAATTATTGACAGTCAAAAGGTACCTGTATGAAATGGTGTTTTTTTGGAGGGATACATCCCTATCAATAGTAACTTTTCAGGCATTATAAATTCCTATGCAAAGTTAGAGTTCTACATCTAATTCTAAGAGAGTTTTGAGTTCTATTGTATCTTGTAGGATTTTAAATCCTTAAGAAAAGTGAGATCATGCCTCAAAACAATTCTTTTATTCTTTTGCTATTTTATATTTTCTAACAATCTTAAGGATTTAAAATTCCTTATGGCTCTTCCTATAAATGCCAATATCAAGTTGCTAAATCCAGATGCAGTCAGATTGGATAGGTTCGATGGCACCAACTACATGCGTTGGAAGGATAAGATGACTTTCCTACTAACAACACTGATGGTGTCATACGTTCTTGATCCAAAACTGCAACCTATCCCAGCACCGAAGGAAAACGATTTTGAAGGAGTGAAGAATGCAAGACTGAAGCGTGAAAAAGATGAACTCATATGTCGAGGACACATTCTGAATTCTCTCACTGATAAAATTTATGATCTGTATCGCAACATATCTTCTCCTCAAGAAATATGGATTGCTCTGGAAAAGAAATATAAGCATGAAAAGAAAGGTACGAACAAGTTTCTTGCACTCAAATATTTTGAGTTTGAAATGAAAGATGATATTTCCATCATAGATCAAGTGCATGAATTACAAATTCTGGTATCAAGAATGTCAGAGTTGGAGATAAAGATTCCAGATTCACTTCAAGTGGGGGCAATACTTTCAAAACTTCCTCCATCTTGGAATGATTATAGGAAAAAGGTTATGTATTCAGATGAAATTCTGACTATGGAACAGTTTCAAACACATCTCCAAATTGAGGCAAAAAATCATTCAAGAGATGCAATATTGGCACCCTCGAAAGTTAATTATGTGAGTCAAAATTCTGCCAAGCCTTTCCAAAATAAACTCAAGCCTCTTAAGAAAAACAGTGTCTTCAGGAAAGCTTCTTTCAAGAAAAGTCAATCTTGTTACCATTGTGGTAAGAAGGGTCACTTTATTAAAGATTGCAAATTCAAAAATAATGCAAAGAACTTTGGTTTTGGCACCAGTGCAAAAACAAGCAACAAGGCAAATTTGATTGAGCATGAATTGGTTGCTATGGTTTCTAATATGCAAGTCGGGATGGTGACTAAATTGAACATGGCAAATCCAACCAAGTCTATGGATTGGTGGCTGGATTCTAGTGCAACAGTTCATGTGTGCAATAACAAAGCACAATTCAAGTTTTATGAAGATTTGAAGGAATCAAAGGAAGTGCTTATGGGAAACAATGTCACAGCAAAAGTTCTAGGCAAAGGCACAGTGGAATTAAAGTTCACTTTGAGCCACAAATTGACCTTAGTTAATGTTTTTCATGTGCCTGATATTAGAAAAAACTTGGTGTTTGTAAGTCTATTGTGTAAAAGAGGCTTGAGGGTTATCTTAGAATCAGACAAGGCCATTATATCAAAAAATGGCAACTTTGTGGGGAAAGGTTCTTCTTGTGATGGAATGTTCAAATTGAGTATTAATGAAATATATAATGTTTCTGCGTATATTCTTGAGTGTCCTTCTACTTTATGGCATGCTAGACTAGGACATGTGAATTATGAATCATTAAAATATGTGTCTAAGTATGGATATTTAACTTGCCAAAATGATTTTAAAAATAAATGTGAAATTTGTGTGCAAGGAAAGATGACTAGAAAACCTTTTCCAAAAAGAGAAAGAAATACAAAAATGTTAGAGTTAGTGCATTCTAATATTTGTGAATTAAATGGTCATCTTACTAGTGGAGGTAAAAGATACTTCATAACATTTATTGATGATTGTTCTAGATATACATATGTGTATCTTATGAGAACAAAAGATGAGGCTTTTGACAAGTTTAAAAAGTATAAATCTGTTGTGGAAAATCAAAAAGAGAAGAGAATTAAAGCTCTTCGTAGTGATAAGGGTGGTGAGTATTTTTCATATATGTTTTCACAATTTTGTGAAGAATATGGCATCATACATCAAAGAACAGTCCCTTATTCACCCCAATAGAATGGTTTGGCTGAAAGAAAAAATAAAACTTTGGTTGACATGGTTAATTGCATATTGATAAATTCGAAATTGCCATTTAATCTTTGGGGAGAGGCACTTCTTACTGCCAATCATGTTACCAATAGAATTCCATCAAAGAAAACTCATGTTTCTCTATATGAGACTTGGAATAATGGTAAAAAGCCAAACCTGAATTATCTCAAAATGTGAGGGTGTCTTGCCTTTTATAAGGTTCTAGACCCACAAAGAACAAAATTAGGACCCAGAGGCATTAGAAGTGTATTTGTTGGTTATGTAATTAATTCTAAGGCCTATAGGTTACTAGATTTAGAATCAAATGTTATAGTAGAATCTGTACATGTTGAGTTTTTTGAAAACAAGTTTATTAAAGATTCTTCTACTATGTTTAATTCTAGAAATTCTTTGAATAATTCAACGCATGAAAATCATAATGGTACAAGTACAAGTATACTTCTTGAGGAGAAAAGAAAAGAAAATGATGGTTCAATTGAACCAAGAAGAAGTACAAGGATTAGGAGAGAAAAGTCTCTTGATCCTAATTTTATTCCTTCCTAGTCTATTATCTTCCTAGCTGAAGCAACCAGAACTGAAATAATTCGAAAAATACCCATGGTATTAAATGTTGAAGAAGATCCTAAAATATTTCAAGAAGCAATGGCTTCAAGGGATGCATCTTTTTAGAGAGAAGCTATGAATTATGAGATGGACTCTATTATGTCCAATAATACTTGGATTTTAGTGGATCTTCCGTAGGGCTCTAAACTAATTGGTTGTAAATGGGTATTTAGACAAAAATGCAATACAGATGGAACAATACAAACCTTCAAAGCAAGGTTGGTTGCAAAAGGTTTTACTCAAAAGGAAGGAATAGATTATTTTGACACATATGCTTCTATTGGAAGAATAACATCTATAAGAGTTCTCTTTGCCTTGGCTTCGATTCATAAGCTGTTTGTGCATCAAATGGATATTAAAACAGCATTCTTGAATGGTGACTTAAGTGAGGAAGTATACATGGAACAACCAGAAGGCTTTATACTTCCTGGAAATGAAAGAAAAGTTTGTAAATTAGTTAAGTCACTATATGGCCTAAAGCAAGCTCCCAAGCAATGGCACTAGAAATTTGATACACATATTTTGGCAAATGGATTCAAGCATAATGATGCAGATAAGTGTATATATTCAAAGTTCACTAAGGATTATGGAGTTATAGTATGTCTCTATGTTGATGACATGTTGATATTTGGTACCAACATGTTGGGAATAAATGAAACCAAAAAGTATTTAACTTCAATCTTCAAAATGAAAGATTTAAATGAAGTAGATACTATTTTGGGTATTAAAGTAAAGAGACATGATCATGGTTTTGTACTTAGTCAATCACATTATATAGAGAAGATGTTGAATAAATTTCAACATTTTAATATAAAGGAAGCCCCAACTCCATATGATCCTAGTGTGAAGTTGACCTTAAACCTAGGTCATATTGTTGCTCAATTGGAATATGCAAATGCAATAGGGAGTTTAATGTATGCCATGCATTGTACTAGGCCAGACATAGTCTTTGCAGTATGCAAATTATCAAGATACCTAAGTAAACCAAGCCATGAACATTGAAAAGCTATTAGAAACTAGATCACATGTGCTTATTTACTAGATCACATGTATAGGGGTTTAATATTATTTACTTAAAATGTTTATTTGACTTATTTAACTGATATACTACATGTGCTTGTATAACTGAAACTTCAACTAGACTTGTATAAATTAAATTACTTAATAGGTAATAATTTAATATCTATATAAAAATAATAATTTTTAACAAATAAAATATAAAAAATAAAAATAAAAGTTAAGTCACAAACCCTAACAAAAAATAGCCAAAAACATAAAGCAACAACTCCTTCAAGACTTCAATCATCGTGTCATTTCCCTTGCACTCTATTGCCCACGCAAAAGGAAGTAGAAGCCATGTTTAGGAAGGGGGTGCTTGTGAATAGAGCAAGGAATTTGAAATCAAGTAAGGACCTTGCCAAGCCATTTTCCTCATTTTTATTTTCATATCTTTTTGTATGTTTTGTGATGAGCTGCATTTTAGATGCTTAATATATTTTAGCTTTGATTTTGTTGCTATTTGAATGGATAATATATGATTTTAAATAGATTTTACATCATTTTCATTCTTTGTATACAAAAAAACTTGAATGTATAATAATAAGAGTTTTGGGATTAATTGAATATAATTTTTTGAAAGTTGAAGGACTGAATTGTAATAATATGATTCATTCATTTAGGTCCTTGAAAAATGTAAAAGTGGGTATTAAGTTTAGTGTCATATGAATTTAATTAGATAGTTGATAAATTAAAGGTTTACTTTTATTTTTTCAATATAAATTTATAATAAAAAAATATATTTATTATAGTTTTAACTTGTACCCTTAGACAAACCCTAAGTAAAAATATATTTAGTAAATGTTTAAAAAGTATATTAAATAGGCTAACAAATTTAGTTGCCATATGAATAGTAAAAATTTTAGAAGTTGTCATATGAATAGCTTGCCAAGCCATTTTCTTAATTTTTATTTTCATGTCTTTTTGTATGTTTTAAATCCAACATTCTCCTTTATGTTTGTAGAGGCTATAATTTATTCATTCTTTCAATTTTTGCATAGATATACTGTAATTCGATTCACAATTTCCTTCACTAATTCTATTTGTATGGATTATACAGGAAACATATAACAAAATAACTTTGATTCTTTTGACATGGATAGTTCAACATGTTTAATTTTTGCTTGAATGTAATCAAAAGCGATATCAAAAATCAATATGCAACATGCTGCAAAGATGTATAAGTTATTATTGTAACATTCAATAAGCACTCTTCAACTACCGAAGCAACATGAATCTCAGGAGTATGTGGAGAAAAGGTACCTTGGTGCCCAATGTGAAGAAGTTTTGAACCCTTTGTTGAATCAAATAATGTCAGTTACCCTTATTCTTGCTGATCAAAAGAAAAGAAAAAAGGTACCTGTTGGGATTAGGCCCAACGCCCTATTAGGGCCACATGCAGCAGGCCCAACTATGCACCCACAGGCCCAAGAGGAGGAGACATACCCACGTGGGCAGCACCACGTGGGCCAATGAAAGGCTTACATGTGCAGATACATGTCAGCACTTGGGGCTATAAATACCCCCCAACCACCTCCGAAGAAGGTAATTAATCTCTACGCTTCTCTCTCTGCAATTACTCCTTGAGAGC